GCACTTTTAGATTCCTTTTTATTTCCTCAGTAGTTACTATTTGCTGGGCTGTTTTGCATTTTGAGGAGCATTTATTGCTGCCAGGCAAACCAAACCCTAAAGCACTTTAAATTAACGTCCTGATCCTATCAAGGCCAGCTTCCCAAATGTATATAAGGGGTAGCATCACCGTGTCACTTCAGCGGGATCTCTGATCCTCTCCTGCAGAAGAACTTCCCCTAAACTTTCATATTCCACCTTCGAATAAGCCACGATGAGCAGACAGGCGCCTACGGTGAGATCTGTCCTGGGACGAAGAGGCTTCAGTTCAGCTTCGGAGATTTGTGGTCGAAGCTACGCTGCTTCTGCCTGCCAACCTGTCCGATGCGGAGCTGGTGCCTACAGCAGCAGGAGCGTCTGCAACCTGGGTGGAAACAGGAGAATTTCCTACGTGAACGGGGTCTGCGGTACTGGATGTTTTGGAGAGTTGGGCTTCGGAGGTGTAGGCTGCGGTAGTGTTGGAGGAAGGGTTGGCCTTTGTGGCCCCAGGGGATATAGTATCGTGAGAGGTTACCCCGACCGCAAGGCCGATGGCATCCAAGGTATCTGCATTGATGAACGGCTTCTGAAGCCCCTCTGCGTTGGGGTTGACCCGCTGGAACATGAAATACGCTGTCAGGAGAAGGAACAGATCAAGACCCTCAACACCCAATTTGCCTGCTTCATCGATAAGGTAGGTGCAAACCTGCTGTGTGCTTGCACTTCTTTAAGAAAAATAAAATACAACCAGCCTCCTCCAAAACCCCAGTCCAGCCTGTGCCATGAATCACCGAGCCGGGTCCGTGCAAGGGTCCAGGTTCCCACAGAGCTGCGTTGGTTCAGAGTGAGATCCTCAGTGTCGGGGACGGGCTCATTTCAGCCACATACGGGCATTTGAAGGGGTTTGTATCGTGGCCATGGTAGCACTGGGCTTTCTTGCGGGTGTCTCCTCTCTGGACGGCTCCAGTTCAAGGCTGGATTTCTCATTGCAGCCTTGTTCTAGCTCAGCTGGAAGTTACAGCCCTGATGGGGTCATCCTTCTGTCCTGTACGAGACCCTTTCCCCTTCTCTGTCTTCAAATATAGCGACTGTTCCAAAAACATTCCTGAAGGCAAAGGAGGTTAATCTTGATTCAGGCACCTAAACGTTAGATATCTAAGTCTGAGCTGTCACCTTAGGATCCCTTTGTAGAAAAAACCGGAGACAACCAGGTTCCACCCTCTGGGGACTGAATCTCATCCTAAAATAAATCAGAGGCACCAGAGGAGCTTTATTTCTATTCATCGGTCAGAAAGGCAGATTTAGACATGTGGCTTTGGATTTCTAAATAGTTTAGACATGTGACTTCCATATCTGTAAATAAGGGCAGATGATCATCGTGGTATATCACCTCTCACTTCCCAAAAATCCTGTTCTTACACCCGCAGTTTTACAGTCAGAGCTAAACCAGGTGCTGAGTTATTGCATCCACCTCTTTATTTGAAGAATTGCTATTTTTTGGCCTGCAGGTCCGATTCCTGGAGCAGCAGAACAAAGTGCTGGAGACCAAGTGGGGCCTCCTGCAGCAATATGTCCTACCAAAGAAAGGGAAAAACCTCGAACTGTACTTTGAGAATTACATCTGTGACCTGCGGAAGCGCCTGGACTGCTTGCTATGTGAAAAGCAAAAACTGGGCAGCGAAGAATGTGCCACAAGCCAGCTGGTGGAGGAGTTCAAGTGCAAGTAAGGACCTTCAGGTCTTTTCTGGCTGTTGGCATTTCGCTCCTCTGGTTCATCTCAGGCAACATCTCCCAGACATGTGGCACATCCCCTTTGGGGATGTCACAGTCTTCTGTCTCACTTGCAAACTCTTTGCATTGTTAATGTTGTTGTTCATGAAGAAGCTTCTGATCTTGGGATGGTCTAATGTTTGGTCTCCAGACACTGATTTTGCAGTGCCTGACGGCAGTCTCTGAGCAAGCGATGGTTGTTATTTATGCCTGATGGTTAATGTCTGTGTGTCTGATAGTATCGCTTGCCCCAGCCCTTTCCTTCTCCTTTCCCAACAGATACGAAGAGGAAATCAACAGGCGTACAACGGTGGAGAATGAGTTTGTGGCACTCAAAAAGGTGAGCAGCTCAAAATACATGAACATTATACCTATAATGAGTTTATTCGGTGTAAAGCTTGGTTGAAATAGTGCCTTATGAGCAAATGCCCGGCAAAAGTGTTACAATGAGCAGAAGGAGGGATGCCCGTAAAGAGGCACAGGGTCAGAAAAAGAGGCAAATGCAAGTAGAAAGTAAAAATAATGTATCCTCAAAGCTTACATCATCAGCACTACAGCAATAGTTCTGTTACCCCAAGCACATTCTTGAAGTGTAATGGGAGGGTGTATTTGTGGAAGGGGGACAGAGTAGGAGAGGTCACACTGGAATACCTGGTGTCTAAGACGCTGGTTATTTTCTGACCGTCTCTTCACATCCTTTATACTTGGACATCAGAAAAGCAGAAGTCATTTGAACAATATTAAAAAATTATGTTTAAATACTCATTAGTCAATTCTGAGTTTGTAGCTAGGTCCTAACTAATAACCAAACTAATCCCTGTAAGTCACGTTGAAATGGTTTTGTTTTCTTTTAGGAGACACCAGGGCATCTTGACTCACCCTCTCACACTTTTCTGCTCTTGAAATCTTGTTGAAACAGGTTTCTGTTTTATTGGTGCTGCCTCTGTCTTCTGTGTGTTTCTCCAATGTTTTCAGCGAGATTGGGCTGGAACGTGTCTCCTCTCTTTCAGGATGCAGACTGTATCTTTTTGAACAAGGAAGAGCTGGAGGTGAAGGTGGATCTGTTAAGAAGGCAGTTGGAGTTGTTGAAATGTGTGTTTGAGGAGGTGAGTTTCTCTGGTCCGTTCCAGGAGTTTGGTGATGTTGCCTCATCCTTCAGGCGCTTCAAATTTCTACAGCTTGAAACCCCTCTTGGACATGTCTCATCCTAAGCCCTGAACACTTGAAAGCATGGAAGTACCGCGTTGATATAATATTAACATGATTATGCTGGAAATAGGGTGGTTCCCCCTTTCTTAATGCAGTGCCAGGTATGAACTGGCTGTGTCCTAACCCTACCCCTGCGAAAAGAGATGTGTCTGTCTCGTTACTCCGGATTGCAGTCGTCTGATTAGAGCTAAAGAAACTCCCAGCTTAATCCTGTCATTAACATCAGTAAAGCAGCTGAAGATGACAGGATACTGAGGGTTAAGTCACTCAAATTCCTTGCCCTTGATGTGGACAGAATTGCTGCAGGTCAGCGTGTAGGTCAGCAGCTGACATGTGGCAACTCATCGAGCTAGGGAGGATTTTCTGCTGAGCAACCTGAGGGACATTTCTTGACTTGTTATATCCACCAGCTGAGCAGTGTGGCTCTTTGTCCCAGCCCTTCCTTCACTACAAAGTCTGAGAATCGCTAACGACTGACTAAGCCATTCCCCAACCTGTAGGAACGCGCGCAGGTAGATCGCCAGCTATGCGACACTTCGGTCATCGTGAAAATGGACAACAACCGAGACCTGGACATGGAAAGCATCATCAAGAACGTTGAATGCTGGTACCAAGAAATAGCTCAGAAGAGCAAAGAAGAAGTTGATGCTTTCTACCAAACCAGGGTGAGTAAGAAGCTACCTGGGTGTCTGCCTGGCAACTGAACAGGCTGCAGGTCAAAAATAACAATTGTCTTGTTTCTTGATTCCAGTTTCAGGAGCTTCAGGATAAGAGAGGCAAGTATTGTGATGACCTGCAAAGCAACAAGTGTGAGATTTCAGAGCTAACCCGGATGATACAGAAGTTGCAGTGTGAGCTGGAGAACGTGAAGAAGCAGGTAGGAGAGGCCCAGAGGTGATGTTTCCAGAAAGGGGAATGTCTTGGATCACAGCTCAGATATGGGGGAAGATGATGACACATCGGCCTTTAGTAGACTTAAGACCTGCTCTAGGCTGTAGTTGGAAAGCGTATTGTTGAAAAGTGGATAGAGAGAAGGGACGCTGGTGGGGTTTTTTCCTGTTTGCAATTGGAAGAGCAGACTAATCCAAAACCAGAATGTCCAGGAATTAGGAAACAAAGCCTTGAAGACACCTGCACTGTTATCCTCACCTCTGACAGGTCTCCTGCCTGCAAACCTCCATTTGTGACGTTGAGCAGCGTGGGGACTGTGCCCTCAAAGATGCCCGGGAGAAGCATGTTGAGCTGCAGAATGCCCTCCAGAAGGCCAAGGATGAGCTGGCTGGCATGCTGCGGGATTACCAGGAGCTGCTGAACGTCAAACTGGCCCTGGATATCGAGATTGCGACATATAAGACTCTGCTGGAGGGTGAAGAGAGCAGGTGGGTGACAGACACCTTGTCCCTTTTCTCCTGTATATCGGAGGCCAGAACGATTCCAGCTCCCAAGTGAATTTTGCAGCTCCAGGATGCTCCCAGGCTCACAGGAACTGGGGCTGGAGAGATGGCTGGAGGCCATACAGGCCACCCTTGTGCCAGCAAAACAGTTCCTGTCCTAGGGATAGTCAGATGTGTTACAACAAGGGATTAAGCGGGGTGGATGTATGGCTGGAAGTTATGAGTAATGTCAGATTTCTAGATGTGCATGCGACTGGTTAATAGGATAATGTGCATTTCTCTTCTCTCCCCTAACAGGATATGTGTGGGGAACCCAGTGAGCGTGTGTAAGTAACCTGAAGATTTTAAACCATGAGGGTTTCTCATTTTAGGAAAGGCAGTTTACAGAACAGCGTTATCTGTCTGCCCCAGCTCCCTCTGCCTCCCTTTTCCATTTCAACCCAGGCTGATGTTGAAGGTTTAGTCCCAGAAATCTTAAATAACTCTGAATTTCAAAAAAACCCCCAGCTTTTGGATGGAGGGGGGGTGGGGAAGGTCAAGTTCATGACCCTTTTCTACTCTTGGAGGCAACAGCAAGCTGTCTCGGTGAACCCACCAGGCAGTGCACCGATGTGCATCGAACCTGGGAAAGAACATGCCACCAGCCAGATCAGCAACGTGGGAACTGGGAGGATCTGTGAGGGGATGTGTTGGGACACGGGGAAGGAGTTGGAAGGAGCTGGGGCTCAGATACATTGGACAAATCTAGAGGAAATCAGGTTTGGTTGGTTTTGTCACTCATGAAACAACTTGCCTCGCAAGAGTCTTCCAGTTTTCCTCTCTAAACAATTAATCCTGTGGGCTGTCTTGCAGCTGTGGTCAGCAGCGGCTACAATATCCCCGATGACTGCGGGATGCTGGCAGCAAACGCGGCTGCGTGTGGCTACGGCTCCCTGGGGAGACGGTCCGGACGGCACAGCTCCCCAAATGGAGGATTCAGCTCCCGGAGCGCTGGGATCCACCCCAAAAGAGTCATTAGCTCGGTGGCCAAGCAATGTGTCCCAGAGGTGTATTGTCAAGCTGGAGGAGTCAACTGTAAAAATGGGGGATTCAGCTCCCGGAGCGGGGGGTACCCAGCCCGCACTGTCATCAGCACGGGAAATGGGGGCTTGAATGCTAGGATGGGGGCTTGCCAAGCCGCTGGGGTGGTCAGCTTCGGAAACCAAGGCTGCGTCGTCAGGCAGCTGGGAGGGTCTCCCGTCGTTGTTGCAAACAGCCCTGAAGTCGTGGGGTGCAACAACGGCGTGGTGGGGAACTACGGGGTTGTCAGAGACCCGTGCGTCGTTCCGTAGGGCCATCAGCTGGGGAGGTGGCACAGCCAGCATCGTTGGAGAGCAACGCTTAAGACGCGTATGTCCTACCACCGAGATGATGCAGGATAGTTTCTCTACCCGCTAGTAGCGATATTTGTCACCAAGCCCATTCCCACATTTATTAGCATCAGCTATACACCCCACCAAGTTACGTTTTCAGAGTCCCCAACCCTAAAGACACATCTGGCAAGCTTCTCCAGCAGGTGCTCAGCGCAGTATTATTTCTCTGAGTTTATACTGTCTAGATTATCACAGCTTTAAGGGTTTGCTTGTTGCGCTGCCTCCTCTCTCTGGCTTTCCCCGTAGCGAGTAGATTCATTAACAATGTTCTTCCTTACAAGACACCTCTTTTTCTTCCAGCTCCTCCCAAAGCATTTCAGAAAAGAGTGATGATTTAACTTTTCCAGGAGGCACTGCAAAGAGCACGCTCCCTTTTTTTTTCTTTCTTTTTTTTTTTTTTTTTGTGTGTGTCAAAGAAGAAACCCTGAGCTGCAAATTTGAGCTTAAATTTTAAACAAGGCAATTTCAAATTTCAAAGCACCTGCTAGTTACGCTGCAGCCATAGGCTTTTTGTGGAATTTGCTTACAGACGAATACGTAGTACTTTCATTTGCTTCTGCATGTTAGGGGTGGCTAGTTCAAAGCGTGCTGATTTTTAGAAGAGCTCACCCCCCCATCCCTACCCCCAAAATGCCAAGGGAAGTTATTGGTGCATAAATCGTCTGAGTTGACATCTTGTACTCATGTGAACAGAGCTTCTCTCATCGACTGCTCAAACTTCCCAGCTTCTCACTGCGCCTTCAATAAACTGCATTGAAAGTACATGTGTTGTCTCTGAATTTTTCTATAGAGAGTACTTAAGGAAATTACAAAATGGGTGAAGTCTATGGGGGGAAGAAAGAACCAAGTAGATCTTTGGATTCTCTTCAGGCAGTTTGGAGCACGGTGGGACTCAGATGCCAGGAGAATCTAAAGGTGTTTTTTCTGTTTTATTTACCTCCTTACATCACATCACCTGTAAGATATTTTATAGCCCACGTACCAACCGATGTCAAAGATTGCCAAAAACCTCCACAGTAATTCTGAGCACTGTAAGATGTCCTTTACAACAAGTTGGCCGGTCTGCAGCTTCACTCACGGCTGCAACCTCAGAACAACGTATTTGTTTGATCCTTCCATGTCACAGCAGTTGAATGAAGACAGATGCCAACACTGACCTTCTGGGCTCCATGGTCTTGTGATCAGGGCCGTGCACTGCCAGAGTCGTACGTCTTTCAGACACAAAAACCTTTGCTTCAGTGGCATTAAGGCTGACAAAGTGTGACATTTACCTTGTATGACTTAAAAGGCAAAGGGATAAGTTACGAGACCTCTTGGCCGTAACGGGGTGGGATTGACTTTGTCTCTGTTTTGGTGTCTCCCATGTAGAGCCCAACATGTGAGCTGACTGCTGGGGGCTCATTTCATGGAAAGAAACCAACATTTCCATGGGGTGATTCATCTGACCAAACACAGCCACCTAATTTAGCATGAAATGCATCGAGCTCTAGACTCTACTGACTGCATCAATTAGATCTCTCCTGGCTCTGCAGGCAGCCCGGGGCAGGACTATTAGTGCAAATGGAGACATCACCATGCGAGACGCCTGCGTGTACTCAGACGAATACACCCTGCCTGTCATCCACCGGATCTGCAGACGCTATTATCACAGTGAATTTCTTCCTGTCTCCAGCACATGAAGAATTACAGGTCACACGGCACCACTAATCTCCTCGCTCTCACAGGGCAAAATTCTAATTGCAACCTAAAACCCAGTGAATATTAAAGACTAATGCAAGGAAGAAGATAAGCACCTTTGGGAAAGGGCATGAGAAGTTATTTCTATGCGAAGAGTAGAAGCTGTTTCATCTAACTTTGACCATCAACGTCAGACTGGTTAGGTGAGGTGGATAGTCCTCCACCTGAGCCCCTCTCTCAAACGAGGAAACCCAGTTCAGCAGTTCATTTTAAGTGGCTACAATTAGATGAGCTGGAGCCCACCTAGGCGGGTAATTTTGCATCTGAGCTTAATGCATTCACCACTTGCAAATGTAATTTGGAAAGAAGGCAAGCCCAATGCTTGGAGTCCCTGCTGAGACATTAGGCAGCTCCAGCTAATTACCCCAACGTCACCGATTCCCTGTGTGGTTTCACGATGTCACTCTGGGCTGTGGTCAGGCGGCGTGCGTAGGACGGCTGTCCAGGAACCGCTGTGACTCCAAGTCTGGGTCTTCCTTGTGGCTATGAGGAGGCATGGCTGTCCCTTGGCAATCCATAGCCAGAATGACTGGGTTTGGCTTTGTTTCAGAGGCCACTTTTTGTTGGGTTTTGCTGTTGCTAAAAAAAGATGGTTGCTTGAGTAAGAGGAGGTGGAGAAAGCCACAGCTTTGGGACCTGAGGTTGTCCTCACCAGCCGCTGCTGGTTGACTTGACCAGTTGGTCTTGCCCTTGCTTGATCTCCTTCCATGGCCTGGTGAAACAGGAACTGGCTTTGCATGACGTTCCCAGCCTCAAAGGGGTGAAAGCCCAGCAAGCCCCAGGTTTTCCAGAGCTTTCCCCTCCAGATCATTAAAGTCAGGACACTGAGGTATTCCCAGATAAGAGAAGACACAAGCCTGGGCTGTCGGTTGCAGTGCCTCATTCTCTTGCTTCAGGGGTGAACTGCAGGCAGGAGTCTAAAATAGCTTCCTAACATGAGCAAGGGTGACTTCTCCCATCCCAACGGAGGAAGCAGTAGGCGACTGCCTAATTTCAGTGGGAGAATAATTATCTTTTGCTGGACTGAATAATAGAGAGAAGAAAGGAAGATGATACTACCTCTCCCAAAACAAGGGTAGCTCCTTTCCTCCTCATGTTTGAGCCAACACCCAAATATTCTCAGCTATAATTTTAGCAAACCAAAGAGGAAAATGAAGGCTGCATTTATTTTTTCTCTATGGCTACAGCTGAACGGACTAGCTCTTAAGATTTTGTCACAGTAGCAAAAGGTTCTTCTCAAATGGTTTTCACACTATTCATTAAAGTTTGTATTACAAGCTCAGGAACATTTCCTGGTAAGTGATTGCTATTTTTCCTTCCCACTTCTTTTTTTTAATATCTTGAGGATTGTTGTGACTATTTTTTTTGCTCTTCTAATAGCAATAATCTTAGACAAACCGTTGTTTTACTTTGGGGAATTGGATTTTCTGTCAGTTAAAAATAACCGGAGAAAATCTTTTGATAATTGAGAAATGTTTCCATTCAGTTCATTTAGTAAAAATTATTAATAATTTAAAAATACCATTCCAATAATTTTATTCCATGAAATGTTTTGGTTTTGATCTTTTGGTTGACCAATACAAGCACTCCAAGCGAAAGCCTACCATGGTCAAGGAAATGAAGAAGCAAGTGGGAGGAAGCAAAGTCACCTAGACTAAGTGCGTGGTCCAGGTCTCCTCCATCATCCATGGGGACAGATGAGCAACTCAGAGGGTGCCCCTTCCAAAAACCAAACCTGTCTTGGGTGTGTTGCAAAAAGAGCAGTATGAAGACCGGGGTGACTCTACTCCTGCGTCAGGCAACCTCCTGCAAATACGTCACCACCCTTTATAGCCAGTGTTTTCCATTTCAACCATCCTGTCCAGGGTGGAAGGCTTCTGCCATAAATTCATCTTCAAAAAAGACAACCTTATCACACTGACCCGCTCAGCTTGAACTTAATTTACAGACTAGAAAGGGTGACTCACCTTCTCCTAAAGCATCTCTCTGCACTAAATACGCCAAGACAAGAACATGGGAAGAGGCTGAAGAGGTGGGACTCTTTCAGGAACAGAGAGAAAGTCATCTCCAAGAAAGTCATCTCCAAGAAAGTCATCTCCAAGAAAGTCATTTCCACAGTGAGTCCCTGCAGTACGAGGCAGAAGAGACGTCACAACCACAGCAATCAACTGAAAGAACACACTTCGCAGTAAATATTTGAACTGGTAATTAACCTGAGTGCAATACATTAAACAAGGGAATGTTCTCCGAGCCAAGATTGTCATTTAAGTTTTTTCACTTGCTCATTATTCTTTACGTGTCTGATAGTTACTACAATGTTTTTTCATGTCAAAAGCAGATAGCAAATGCCACTAGCCAAACAAAACCACGCAGGCTCGAAAGACATTTACCTCATCCAGCCATGTCCAACATAAGGGATACTTTCAAAGTCTGCCACTCGAAAAAAAAACTGCTCTGCCCCTTTCTTCTCTCTCTACCTGGAATGAGCTAAAGATGCTAGACCTCCACCATCTAGCATTGGATGATGGGTCTTTGAAGCCTTTTTAGCTCAGAAGCAGCAGAAAAGGCAAAAGCAAACTCATCCAGCCTTTGAATCAGTAGCAAGGGCAAGAAATTCGAACAACTGTGCTGGAACGAGAATCCTCTTTGGTCTCTGTGCACGCCTATGGAGACCTTGGTGGTGGACCACACACAGAGGATGCAGCGAGGGTGGAAGGGTGGAAGATGTGGAAGTACTTGCCATAGTTTTGGCTTTAAAGATCTCAGAGATTGCAGGGACCTCAGTGAATGTAGAAGGTTTGGAGTTTATAGCAGCAGAGGAGCTTGCAGGGTGAATCACAGTGATGGTGATCCCCATCCCACTCATTCTGCAAGCAGTGAAAACAGCCAAAGCATCAGCAGAGATGAAAGCTCCCGGCAATGGTACAGCTCTGGGGCTGAATCATCTGGGACTACGAAATACACAGATAAAGAAATCCCAGGAGCAAATCTGCCTGCTTTGCTGATAAGGTGGGAGCGGGAATTTTGCTTTATTCTGTGGTGAATTCCTTTCAGAGCCAAACTAGGAAGTCCCCAGCCACATCAGAAAGATATGGTTTGGAATATCCCACTTAAAATCAAATAAAAAAAAAAAATCAACTTGTGTAACTTCAGCTTTTTATCCTAGCTGTTAAAAAAA